ATTACCAAATTACTCTTGTACCACACCCCTAACCCACATAAAGAAACTACTCTGATTTGGACAGAATCATCTGCTCTGCTTCGCTTCAGAATCCGCCCCTTTATGGTATATGAGTCATATCTAACACATTAACAGTGCAACATTCCATCACAGATTTTCTTCATTTTTTTATAAAACATTCAACATAAAATAAAGCATAAATACTAAACTTATAAGTAAATAAGAAAAGGAAATAAACCACTGTTTTTGGCCTCGGGTCAATGTATTTGGGTATTGAATAGGTAAAGCTGCAGAAAATTTAATAGGCTATTTTCTTGTTCTTTTTTTTGGTCCTCTTTTAAATTTTATTTAAGATTTTGTATTTAATTCATGTCTTATTTAAGTTCCAAGGTTTGTTTGTCATGCTAAGAAATTAAAGTTTATCTAAGTTTTTTGTTAATTTTGAAATTTGATTTTGTTTGTGGTGAAAACCATCTCGTGGGAGGTTTTCATCCTTTTTTTTGTTTTATCTGTTCATTTTTTTTGGTAATTTTTATTTGAAAAAATACACATGCAATGGAATATAAAATAAAATATAAATAAAGGAAACAATGTTTATTAAACCTTGGATTTGACTTGGGTTAGGATGAAGCTGAGGAAAACTAGGTGTCATGTTTGGTAGCAAATAAATGAGCTCAAAATGTAATGACAAGCAGCTGGTTTGGGATCTTGTTCGACCTAGGTTAGGCTTAGGTTGACATGAGTTGGCTTAAGTTGACTCAAAATAGACTTGGGTTGGGTCAGGTTAGATCTGGGTTAGATAAGGTTAAGTTGGGTTGGGTTATATCTGACCTAGGTTGAGTCAGTTTAGACCTAGGTTGATTTTAGGTCGGACCTGGGTTGGATCAGGTTAAGCGTTGGTTTGGTCAGGCTGAACCTCGGTTGGGTCAGATTCGATATGAGTTGGGTTCGAGTCAGACATTGGTTAGATCAATTCTTACATGGGTTGTGTTTAGGTTTAAGTTAGGTTTTGGTTTCGTTTAGTTTAGGCTAGGTTAGACTAGGTTAGGGTTTAGGTTTAGTGTAGGTTAGGTCTTGGTTTTGTTTAGGTTAGGTTATGTTAGGGCAGGGTTTGCTTTTAGATAGTTTAGAGCAACAGTTAAATCTAAGATGGGTTAGGTTTGGGGATTGAGTAAGGTTAGTTTTAATGCTACATTTGGGTTGGGGTTGAGGGACTAGTTTAGGTTAGGTTTGAGCTTGGTTCTGAGTTAGGATTAAGCCTAAGTGGGTTAGGATTAGGTAGAGTTTAGGTTAACCTAAGTCAAACCAAAACTCGAGCCTGCTCTAAGACATCTAAACAGTATGACCTAGCTTAACTAGACTTAAGAAAATAAACTCTTAAATTAAATAAGAACAGGATTGAAGCTCACCAGAGAAGAGGTTGACTGGAGGAGAGGAGGCCTGCCAGAGGATTTCTTCCTTCTTCTTCCTCTGAGCTGTAGAGAATGGTGGAGAGTGCCAGAGTGTGAAAATGAGCTTCTTTGTCTCAGAAAGAGCTAAGGATCGCTTATTTATAGGCTGAGAAGGCAGTGACAGAGCCCTCTGTGGTCGACCCATTAGGTGGCGAGTCGAAAGACATATTATGAATCATATGGTTGTAATAGTCTCAAATTTTTGTCAGCAAAATAGCACAATGGTTCATGCTTGGATCTATGGACGAAGGACATGAATCAGTTGCATGTCACTGGTAGTGTCTACATGGACTGATCTCTCCAAATATACCTTGGCATGGTCATGCCCAGGGCTGGGGTGACCACGCTGAGGTATTTATGGGTTTGGTCACTCCCTGAGTAAGTGTGACTACAATGAGGTATTTCTCGGTGTGGTCACATCCAGTCCATCACTCCAAGCCAAAGAAGGCATGTGCTGGTTTTTTGGCTAATGTGGCTACACCGAATCAAGTGGTGATGCTTGTGCAAATCCTATGTGACAAAAAATGAGGTCAACAATATCTTAGAGGTTAACCATTGCACATTGTGGTTAAAATTTTAGGCTTAAAATAACTTATGGGATGCTTTTATGAAGATGAAATCCAATTATTCTTATGAACACCATCTTATGGTTAAGTTTAGACTCGAAGATTCAATAATTTGGAAAGAAAACTAAAAATTAGAGAGAATGTGGAGCCTTTTCATTTTTTGGAGTTGGAAATATGGATATATCTTTCTGGTAAGATGATTGGAAAATTGTATGTTTTTTTAATACTTTTTTTCTTTTACGCTGTAATAATAATGATAAGGTATCAGATTTTTGGAGTGGTGATGTATGGAACTACTTAAAAATCCAAAACCAAGTTGGTTCAGAATGGATGAATATCATTTCACATATACCCTTTGATAGAGGCAAAATTGATAGTGTTATATTGAAATGAGACATTGATACTTCCAAGGGATGTAGTATGAAATGGTCAAGTGCTTTAATATTTTACTTCCAAGGGATGGGTATAGTTACTTTGGAACAAAGCTTAGCTAATTGGATTTGACATGAAAATGCTAGCCATTTACAAAGTTTGATGCATTTATATGTTGTTGTTTCATTTGGATGGAAAGAAATAAAAAACATATGGATATTTCAAAAAGCATATGGATATTTATGTAATAGTGGAGAGAGTTATTATGTACATTAAAGCTTTTACTTACAAAGTGCTTGAATTTAATAAATGCAAAGCATCTAATGTTATGTGCCTATCACATATTGAAATGAAGATGGGATATGTTTGCGAGCCTTCTTGCAACTCCCCTTGCACTTCTCTGGTTCGGTTGGTATTTAGGTGCATGCGAAATTATCCTATTATTAAAATTAACGTGGATGGCTATTATGCTGATGTTCGGGCTGGTGTGGTAGGTGTATTTCAGGATAACTCTAGTAAGTGCTTAATTTATTTTGCTGCTCCTTGCAACCCTATTTCGTTACTCTATTCAAAGATCATAGCGATATTATACTGCTTGATGGTGCGGATAAGTTGGACATGTATTGTCTTCAAATTGAAACAAATTCAAAAATGGGTGTTTAATATTTGCAATAATATTTATATTTGCCCTTGTTATTATATAGATATTTTGAACAAAATTACTGTGTTGCTGCCTTATTTTAAGGTTAGATGGATTCACTTTTATGGTAAAGCAAATTCGACGGGCTGCTTAGCCAGATAGAGCTCCTCCTTGAGTTCCATTAAGATTGGGTTTTCTCGTCCTCAGACGGATGTTCATTTTATTTTTACTGATCAAAGCTCCTTTTTGTCTATTAGAACCATTTTTGATTCATTTCTTATTTTTTGCAGCGTTTCATTGCGTGTGTTGTGCTTTCAGTGCAGGTTCCATATGTTTTATTTTGTGTGAGTTATATTTTGGGCAAGTTGGAATCTTCAGATAACTTTTGCAGTGTTTTACTTATAGCAATAATTCCCGACGGTGTTCTTCTTCTTCTTCTTACCTTGAGAGAGAAGATTAGCATGGCCCCTCTGCCAAGATGATACACATAAATCAAAAAAATGGACCAATTAGCCTACTTCTAGGTTAAATCCTACTCTAAACTTGTTACCAGATAGCACCTAACACTCTTACCCACACATCCACTACTTCTTCACTCTACTCTATCCAAACCTAAACCTAACCCATTAACCTTCTCCCTTTCTCTTGCCTACACATCCACACTTTTTTAATTACCCAAGGATCGAGCGAGAGGGAGAATGAAGCGAACAATACCTTAATTAATGGTTTCAATGGTTTTTTTAAGTCACGATCCAAGAGAAGAGGCGAGTCTCCGGAAGAGGAAGACAGTTGACGAGCAAGGTGGAGTGTCGTCGAGAGGATAAGCGTCATCGGGAGAGGAGGAAGCTATAGGAGGGCAAGGGGATTTAGGGTGAAACCGGGAGAGGGAAGGAGTCACGTGAGATAGGAAGAATTGGGGATTTTTTATAATAAAAAGGATGAGTTCTGACATTCAAGTAACAGTATGTAACAGTCAAATCAAAAAGTCGGCAAGATTTTCTTTTTATTAAAACACGATAGATCAGGAGTAGTAATAACATCGAAAAGGTTAAAGATTAGGTATCCGCCACTAAATTGTGGGAAATTAAATTAATATTTATTGCGCACAATAAGATGTTGGTTATGATGTAACTTTTATTGCATTTCGTGCATAATTTATTGCGTTCTTTACCCTGGAAATTCTAGGGCCCTTCCCTTCTTTTTTGATACCTCTCTCAACTTCTCAAACTTTTTGTTCTCCAACATTGTAGCATCATTTTATGGGTTCCTCACCGCCCTAATAAAATGATTTCTTTTAAAGTCATTTTATTTTATTTTGTTTTGATTTTTGTAGGGATGTTAAAATTGAGGCATTTTTTGACTTAATTTTGTCTTCTGTCTTTCTCCACACACCAAGCTTCTTGGATTTATGCAAAAAAAAAATTAATTTGATCCTCAAATAACCCTGCAAGATTTCAGTACATTTCAACCTCTAAATAAATCATTAAAACCTTTCCTTTTTCTAATATTCTAAGATTAATTAAAATCAACAAAAACTAGGCACTTTGACCATTTTGTCCTAGCTCTACATACACATTCTAACATCTTTTGGATTTCAATCAAAATCTCTTGACCATATTTAATTGCATTCCTTTAACAATTTTAAGTATATCCATACCATAAATCCTCATTCAAACTACAAATCAAAAGGATAAACTCTTAAGTGGTAGCTCTCTGGTTGGCTTATCTTAAAGTTTTAGCTGAACCTCTCACTTGTTTTACTCCTAAAATATTTTCTCCAAACATCCAAAGGTTTTCACTACAATTTTAACATCTCACCACAGTTAGTGAAAGCTCTAGATCATCAATTCTAAGGCTAGGTCAACATAAAAATATGTAAAGTGAATTGCAAACAATCCTCGTTCTACTCTTGCACAAAAAACATTATATTTAAATTCATGTCCTACGAAAGATAAAGATGAAATAATACACAAATAAAAAAAATGATAACTTCCAACAAACCTTTCTTTCAGTTACAAATCAAGCGACAGATCGAATCAGTTGATTAGTTAATCAATGATCCAACATTGGAATAAATCCCATTATGCCTAACACAATACACACCACACGAACAACAATAACAACAACAACAAAAACAAGAAGAATGAAAAATAGAATTACCAAATTCAACAACACACCATCAACAAATGCAAGACAGAACTGACTGTAAACATGCTCTGATGTATCATCACCAACTCATCATTTGCCTCTTTCTTTGTCACCATTAAGTTGCCCAAACACCTATCCATGAAGAAAAAAAGACTTACTGGATTAATAAATTTTATAATGGACAAAAATGGTCTAGAAAATGCGCTGGACAAGTATGGATTTGACTATATTACATGCTACTCTAATATTATTTTAGAGTATTATATTTAGGAATCTTAATTGTTATGTATTTTCATATCAAGTTCCTTAACATCTATTTCTGCATATATTTGTATGTCACTTACCTCTGCATGAAAAGCCATATTCACATTTTAAGGGTTAAAATAGTGGTATTAGGTGGTATGTATGTAAAAAATTAGAATTTAGGTGCTAGAGATCTTCGTACCTAGGATTTTGGGTGGCATGTATGTAAATGTCCCTTTTTATTTTTATTACAATCAATAGTCATTCTGTAGTGACTTGTGCTCATAGCGACAGACAAGAAAATGAAATTCACTAGATTTTTAAAATTAAGGCATTCATGAATATAACCATACTAAGTATTTTGTATGTTATTTTTTTTTTTAAATATCTTACATTAATACATTCCATGTCTTTTTGAAGCCTATGCTGACCTTTGGCACAACAGTTCTTTTACTAAGAGATATATATATATATATATATATATGTGTGTGTGGGTGTGTGTGTGTGGGTGCGCGCGCGGGCGAGCGGGCATGTGTGTGCGTGTGCGCACGTGTGTGTAATTTTACTCAACGTAATTTTACTCATATGTAAACCAGCACTTGAAGTAAAATACAAAAGCCACACACACACACATACGTACATGTGCGCACGTGTGTGTAATTTTACTCATGTAATTTTACTCATATGTAAACCAGCAGTTGAAGTAAAATACAAAAGCCACACACACACACATATTCGAAGACAAAATATGTGTGTGTGTGTGTTCACGTGACTGCCATTTTTTGCTTGGAATTCTACATATATACTAATTAATTCCTATGTATTTACATATCCAACGCTTGGAATTCAACTTTTTAAAGATATATCATTTAACTTATTCATAAAATGGGTACTTCATTTTTAAAAAGCAAAGAATGGTGTGATTTCTGTTGCGATATAAAAACTTTGTTGTATAAAAATAAAAAGTAAAATTTAGCAATAGATCTGTAGAAAAAGAGAAATTGGTGATGCGTTGACTGAATTTTTTTTTCCTTCGTAGTTGTTATAAGCTCTATAAATGATTAATGAGAGAGTGGAAAGTGGAAAGTACATTTCTGTCGGACACTATTGTTGCGTCATCGTGTCTAATGCTTCATTTCCACTAGATGGCTTTTGTATTTTCTTTTAATTATTTTATCTACCATTCCCGGAATTCGAATGAAAAACGTTAGCTGATACTGAAAAAATATAACATGTAATACTAATCTTATAATTATAATTATAATTTTTAAATTTTATTAATCATTGAAAGTAAAAGTTATTTAAAAAATTAAAATAATACATAAAATATTAACTCATCAACAAAATCATAGAAAGCAGAAAATCAAGGCAAAAAAACATTCTATTTGGCTAAATTTATTTATATGTAATCATAAATGTATTAAATTAACTTTTAATCGTAGCTTGTTCAAAATGATTGAAGCCTTACCCCCAAAATTTTTACACTAAATACTTATAAAAAAATAAATAAATGTAATAAAATAAATCAATTTTTTATTATGTTAAAAAAGATTTAGCGTTAATTTTTTAATTATTGAAAATGTTGTCGGCACCAAAAAATATTAGACAGCAATATAAAATAAAAAATTTGTTTCAAATGCCAAATAAAATCATTTTATTAGTGGTATAATTAATTCCATGCACGGCATTATATCTTTTAATATAAACATTTGAACAATTAATAATTATCATTAAATTTTAAAATGATAGAACTAAACTATCGAATGATTTGATTAAGCTTTTGGGCATACAAAAATATAATCCTGTGAAAAAAAATGTTATTATATTAGTCGAATATTTTCTTAGTGTCGAAGAAATCACACAGAAGCCTCAAATATATAAAAGTTGAAAGATTTACATACATAACACTCAATTCCTAACTATTTATATCTCACGCCACATGCATACATTTAAAGATGCAGAAATTAGTAGAAAACAATTTTTTTTGTCACTTTATTTATGTATGAAATCATATATTTCAATTTTTAAAAGTTAAAATACATAATAGTGGAACTTTTGATGTGATTTGAATGTTTGAGGTGGTATAAATGTAACGAAAATCAATTTTAAATTTTAGATGCATAGATATATATATATAAAATCAATGAGGTTGTCAAAACTGGAAATGGCGAGTTTTCTTATAATCTCATGGATATGAATAATAACGTTAGCTAAAACCTGATACAGAAGATATATGATTATCTTGACAAAATTAAAAAAATAATAATAATAATAAACAAAGAGAAGGGTACTCACTCCAACCCGAAATGATCAAACGGTGCAAGTAAAGCCCGGCGGAGGAGTTTTTCCGCAGGTGATAAGCAGCTGTAGAGCAAGAGGAAGATATATATTGATATTGAGAAGCTTCAGCTTTATGGTAGTACAGAGGCAAACTGCGGCTTCCAGCTCCACCAGTCCCTGAAGTAACGGGCAGCACTGGTTCACTACAGGGTCGCCCAGCCCGATATGCACCAACCCGCCCAATACGTCCACGCAGGCCCCTAATTTCAGCGTATCAATCGGGCATTGTGTTACTGGTGGCACCGGCGTCACCGGCGTTGGTGGCAACGGCGTAGGAGTCACTGGAACAGGTGGCAACGGCGTAGGAGTCACCGGAGCAGGTGGCAACGGTGTCGGCGTCACCGGAGCAGGAGTTGGTGTTACCGGGGTTATGGGCGGGCAGGGGGTAGGGTGGCCAGGATGCTTGGGATGGTGGGGCTTGTGGTGGGGGACTTTGGGGTGATGTGGCTTTTGTGGGTTGGAGCAGGAGTTGCAGGTTGGCAGCACGGGGGCGGCGGCGTCATTTCCTGCGAGGAGGGGAGTGAAGGAGGATGTGAGGAGGATGAAGATCAGCTGAAGAGCTGAGAGCTTATTGGTAGAATCCATAGCCTCTACTTTCTATATTTACCCCTCACTCACTCAATGGGTGTATTACCACTGAAGCTTATCGCTGCGGAGGATGTCAGCGAGGTTGGCTTCCACTTATAGAAGGGGTGAGAGGTATGCAGGTGAGCGTCACGTGAGCGTCCATGGTATTGAACGTCCCGGTGTGCTTCTTGAAAAAAATAATCAAAATTTTTCGAACATTCTGGACCTTTATTTTGATGCAATTGGATTGTTCATTTCTAATTGGATATTCGCATGAAAGAAGAAAGAGCAGAAGGATTTCATATATATATA